TTATTATATCTTCAAAGGAAGCTTGAGAATAGGATACTGTAAATTTTATTTCACAAACGTTCGTCATACACATTATGATACATATTTACAAACATATTCTTAGTTTTTAATACTTACACTTACTTTTTAGAGACACAAGTCTCGACTATATTTTCTATATTTCATCACAAATCTACCCCATTCCTTGATTAGCCAAGAGAACTTTGATCATTTTGTAATCATTAATGTTTTTAAAGAATCAATAGCTTCATGATCCTAGATCAGCACCCTCAAGAACGTGGAAAACATACTACGTGACTTTTCTTACGAGATTTTCACACATTCGGATGTCAGAAGGTGGTAATTGGAAAATTAAAGTACACTATAATAACAAACTTAACCGTAAATACAGACAATGGGATATGGTATCCACAAGGCTGTGGCCGATAGATTTTCGATAAAGACTCTTTACTTATAGACACAGATATACTATATGCCAAAAAATATTGAAACAACAAGCTTTCGGAAGGTGTAATATCTCGTCGCTAGATCTTAATAATGAGTAGAGCACTCTTTGATGTTGTCACAGCTTAGATTCTAATACTAAAATCGGCCACCAATAGTTGTCCACATCTTGCAAAGTAGGACCGAATGCAGTACGACTTTGGGTTATATCCCTGCCGCCCCTCAGAAGCTGTATCAGAATTTTACGAACAGATTCAGATGACGGTTCTGGGCTGCCCAAATTTTAATGGACCAAGGATTAATTTTGAGCAGCCAAGATGATATTTCATGTTAGCAAGTCTACAGTAGATTTGGATGTTAAAAGTTCATACCACGAATTATACATCTAGTAATCAATTCTATTTAAATGTGCCTGAGCTCATTGCTTTGAGACTTCTTGATTGGCTGGTTGTGACAACAGCGTCTGGAACAAATATTTTAGTTTTAAAGATCTTTTTACTTTGTAAAGTGAAATAAATTGGCTGACTTTAAGAAATAGAACCTTGACTGTGACAAATTAATCACTGTGATTTGAAGTCACATCAACCTAATTAGTTCGATGTCAGGAACCCGTGAACTAGAACCATTTGAAGACAACAATAAATGGAATCTTGGGTAATTTTATCATCTGCGTGGTAGAAGAGATTTTGAAACTATACATGCCACTAGTTATATCAAGTACTGACATTCCATTTACCTTTTAAAATTTTGTAATTTTTAAAATGAAATATAGTAGTTTAAATTACCTAAAAATACTTTATTTTTTGCTGCGGTATGTGTGACAAAAGCTATGATATATATATATATATATTGTAATATTTCAGTTGGATTTTTCTTTGATTTAAAAGTACTTAAGTTTTTAATTCGTAAAAAAGATACACAGGGAACACCCTCCCCCCATATATATATATATATCGAAGAAACTATTACCAAACAATGATGTATTAACCTTAAAGAGTACATGTATCCATCTTACTCATTCCACTGTGTGTGGTCTGATTCCCATTTCAATAGTTTGATCTGGTTTCTTCTCAGTGACGTATTTCGAGCAGCTATATGTCTATTGAGACCAATAGTGCTAATAGAATTGTTTTTGTTATGATTTGCTAGTAATAAGTTTATTCAATAAGCTTGAGACAACATTCACATTTGTATTTACAACAAAATCATTGGTGTGATTTGTACTTGACATAATTTATCCCATAAAAAACATACCTTATGTTACTTAACACCACGCCTTCAGTGATTGAAAGCTTATAATGGTAAAAACTGTGTTTCCATACCTGTGGTGAGCACAGCACAAATATTCCATTGTGTAGCTTTGCACTTAACAACAACCAAACTTTACATCACTTTTAAAAACTTTTGTTGTTGTTTTCTCTAATACCTTAATTATTAGCAGTACTTTTTTCCCACTGGATAAAATCCACTTAAAAACCAATATCCAAAGCATTTCGGAGCTAAGCATTTCATCAAATTGTATCACCAGTTTTATGTATCCTCTTCAGACTCTTGCATACAGCTCTTCTTGAAATATGGAGTTTTTTCACAATTGTTCTCGTGGGGTATCCCTGAACAAACAAAACTTTAACTTCTAAATGTTTATAATGTGGTATTTAAGTCCTGAGTGTCATGAATGGATTCATGATACTACTACTACTGAGTATAGTTTGTTTGTTGAATTTTACACAAAGCTACTCGAAGGCTATTTGCGCTAGCTACCCCTATTTTTGAAGTGATCGACAAGAGGAAGGCAGCTATTCAGCACCACATTATAATGCCTTCTAAAGGTGAGAGAGCGAGTATGTTCAGATTGCGAGTCGAGTACCCTAACTTCCAGACTATGCCAGCCCCCCCTGCCATAATATGACTAACTTTACTTTTATAGGCTTCATATTAGCTCGGATCTTTTTATCATCATTAGTTGGATAACGATCATTTACGATAATAATGCTTAGAGACGGTTTGAATGGGTAATGAAGAACAACTTTAGTTTTTCTTCATTACCCATTCAAGCCGTCTCCAAGCACTATTAGTCTCAAAGTAGGTTCCTCGTCATCGAATTTGAATCCTTTACACTGCAGACTATCAACATGTGACTGTACTCTGATACATTAGTTCTTCTCACGATAGAAGAGAGGCATTCCTATTGCATTTGCATTTACAGGGGGAAAGTGATATAAGGCGGTCAGTCTCTCTCTGTGAAGGCCCGGCATGGCCAGGTGGTTAGGGCACTCGACTCGCAATCTGAGGGTCGCAGGTTCGAATCCTCGTCTCACCAAACATGCTCGCCCTTTCATCCGTGAGGGCGTTATAATGTGACGGTCAATCCCACTATTGGTTGGTAAAAGAGTAGCCTAAGAGTTGGCGGTGGGCGGTGATGACTAGCTGCCTTCCCTCTAGTCTTACACTGCTAAATTAGGGACGGCTAGCACAGCTAGCCCTCGTGTAGCTTTGCACGAAATTCAAAACAAACAAACAATGAGTTAAATTGGGGCCATTTTACCTCATCTTGAGGTCCATTTTATCCAGCTTTATAGGCAAAACGGCCCCAGTCACAAGAATTGCATTATTTCAAAAAATTATCTATAAATAACATTTATAATAAAGTAGGGTTCATTTTAAGATATTTTACTTTTAATGGCATTCATCTGAATTGTCAAATTGCATTCAAAGTTAAGATGGCCGTCTTACCGCATTTTACCCTATCCTTTTCCTTCACTGTTTCTATGATTATTTCAAATACAGTATATACAGAAAACTGTAATGAAAACTCTTTACAGAAGATATTACATTTCGTTTACATTTCACATAGAATTTTACCAACATTTGTACTAAAGTTGTTAACCCTCACTGTAAGTTTAAAGTTGTTAGCATATTAATCACAAGTAGATGTCAAAAATTCTTTGAAGTGATTCACTAGATATTACATTCAAATATCCTTGCGTTATCCCCACTTAAACCTTTACGAGCAAAAATAATAGATAATGGCCTCTCAATATCCTTTAGTGTCTGAATATCTCTTGAGACTCATAAGATGTACAATGAATTATAGTAAAAAAATGTAGATGCTACTTCAGCAGAGGAGAAAAAAACAGTAGGGGTAATTGGAGTGAATAAATCAAATGCTGATTGTTTTTTGTTTGTTTTTTAGGTTAAGCACAAAGTTACACAATGGGCTATCTGTGCTCTGCCCACCACGGGTATCGAAACCCGGATTCTAGCGTTGTAAGTCCGCAGACATACCGCTGTGCTACTGGGGGGCGCTTAGAAGGAATACTTGTTGTAGGATTGTTGAAGTAAAATATACTATTTTTGTTGCTTTT